AACTCCTGGGGGACATGCCAGGCCTGCGAAGGGCTGGGCTCCTGACACACCAGGGTAACGGGAATGCAGCCCCGCCCGGGGCAGGGGGCCCTGGAGGTTTCCAGAAGCTGGGAAAGAAGAGGAAAGCAAACCCTCAGGAGGAATGTGGGAAGTGAACTCAAGGAATCCAGACGTGCGGAGAACCTGTTAGGACCGAAGTGCCACCTGCCGTAGGACAGACCACACATCCTGTGTCACTCTGCATGCGGGGAGATGGTGTAAAAGGCTTAAGCCCAAGAGCCACATGGCCAAGTTCCATTTTAAAGGTCACTGGCTGCAGTGCAAACAGGCGGAGAGAGGCAGATACAGGAGGAGGAAGAGGCAGATGGAGGAAGACCCGAGGTCAAGGGTGAGTGTAAGATCAAGGGTGGGTGAGAGGTCAAGGGTGGTGGCTTAGAGACCGTCCTGGGAGGAGGGGGAGACATGAACTGACAGACCCCGACATCCAGCCCAGGCTGTGGCCTCCCACCACCGGGCTCAGTCCATTTCACCAATCAGGAAACAGCGTTCAGAGGCTGCGCCCTGGCCCAGGGGGGCAGAGCTGGGCGCCCCAAAGGCCAAGGTCTGGGAACCAGAGTGAGCTGGGCCAGCACCCTGCGCTGCCCCAGGTCTGCGTGGGGACAGGGGGGAGAAGGAAAAGCTGGGCCCTCTGAGCTCCATGCTGGCGGGGTACAGGGCTCTCCTGTGGGTGGCGGGTTCTGCCCGCAGCTGCGTGGAGGATGCACAGCTGTGAGCAAGGCCCGCAGGCACTTGCTGCGGCTCTGGGCTCTGTCCAGGCTCCGGGCTCCCGGCCACTGCAGCACCGCCACCTGCTGGCCCAAGGAGCGCAGTGCAGCCGGCCACCTGCCTGCGGGCTGCAGCCAGGCCGGCCTCTGCAGGCAGCCAAGAGAGATGCCTCTGACCTGGACCCAAGCGCCTGGGCTGGTTTGGGGGACCCTGGGCAGAAGCTGGGGCTCCTGGTTGGGGGAGCCCGAGGTCCCTGTTTCCGGGGCCTCTGATCTCGCCTCCCTCTTCACGACGCCCCCCCTCTGAGCTGGCGCTGGGAGCCGCCTCAGAGGATGCTCACAGCTTTGGGCCCACGTTCTGCCCACAGCCCAGCGCAGGCTCTTAGGCGTGTGCGTTCCTGGCGATAGGATTCCTGCCAGCTCCTGGGAAGCTCCTGGCGTGCTGGTTCCCGAACGGCTGGGTATGGCAGAAGCACCCTAAGCGTTGTCTGTCTTACCTTCTCCTGCCCTGGCCTCTGCCCTCCGCTTCCCAGTGGGAAAGGGCCCCTCCGTCTGCTCCATCCGAGGCCGAGGCCTCCCCAGCTCCGTCTGAGTCTCCTTTCCTGCTGTTTGTGTCCCAGGAGCACGGGGCTCCCCGCCCGCCCCGCCCCACTTCTGGACGTGGTGTTGGCAGACGCGCCCGCGTTCTCCTGAGCCTCCTCCTGCCTCCCCGTAGCCACCGCCAGGGCATCAAACTGTGATCTTCTGATTCGTAGGTTGAGGGTCAACCACCGAGCCACGCCGGCCCGGCATAGAGTGCTTGCAGGAGGCAGCAGATCCGTGATTCTCTCTCATCAATGACGTCTCTCTCTCTCTCCCTCGCCCCTCCTCTCTGAAATCAATAAAAATATTTTTTTCTTAAGAAAAGGGGGAGATTGGATCACAGGCTTCGGAACAGCATCCATGAAGTGTCATTTAAGAGGCTAGCATTTCCAGTGCCTACAAATTATGTAAAATGTTTAAGGTAACATAAGGCACAGATGAAGCAGAAACTGGAACTTTAAAAACCTGCAGACAAAGCCGACAAGTGAAGGAGAGAATGTGCATGCGGTCTGTGCCCTGAGAGCAAGCTCCACTCTGGGGCAACAGGAGGAACCACAATGGGATGAGCAGACGCACAGGAATGTAAAATATTCACACAAACACACAGGAATGTAAAATATTCACAACCTGCCCAGGAAGCAAAAACACAAACACACTGAAAAGCAAGCAAACGAGGGAAGGGTGTTTTTTTTTTAATATTACAATTGGGAAATAATCATGTCTTTTCAAGGTAATGGTGCATTTTAATGGTTCTTTATACTAACATCCCATTAGCTGTTTGGAAAAAGATAAAAATATTTCACACAAAAAAAAACTCCATAAAGGTTTAAAAATAGTAAACAAATCATGAGAAAATATGATCCTAAATTGTAACCCAAAATGCAAATTAGGGCAAGGGCTGAGTATCTTCCACTTACTTAATAGCCAAAAATATAGTATAAAAATGGTATGATATAACACACACACACACACACACACACACACACACACACACTGAGAATGTGGTTCTGATGGAGCGAGATGATCATGGCCCACTCGCAATGGCACAGCCTGCAGGAAGAGGAAAAAGTTTTGGCACAAACCACCTCACATCATTTACTCCTGCTGCCAGAGGCGGGGCTTTGGCTTGAAGGAGGTAGGGGGAGAGAGAGAGAGAGGGGGGGGGGGGAAGGGAAGGAGGGAGGGAGGGAGGGAGGGAGAGGGAGGGAGGGAGAGAGAGAGAGAGAGAGAGAGAGAGAGAGAGAGGGAGGGAGGGAGGGAGGAAGGGAGGGAGGGAGAGAGAGCACACTAAGGCACAGAGCGGCTTAGGATGTCATCTCACGCAGCTGTCAGAACTGATCTCCCGTGGGCTGGGAGTGGGGGACCGGAGATGTACCAATGAACTTACACCCCTGTGTGCACGCCCGCGGACACGGGCAATAGGGGAGTAACGTCCTGGGGAGCAGGGGCCCGGGAGGAGGGGAAATGGGGGAGATCTGAAATACTCTCAACAATGAAAAATGTATTTTAAAAGAACTTGTCTCAGTTGGGCTTGTGTCTGCCACTGGCACACACCAAGCAGCCACAGGGGCATGCCTCCTGTGCCGGGAGAGGAGGGAGGTGGGCAGCTGCTCACAGGTGCCTGGGTCAGCGGGTGCTGGGCCCGCTCGCTGGGACGGACCCATTTGAAGACACCAGGGCACCACAGCGGAACCGGCCCGTCTCTGGTCTGCCTGTCTGCTTGGGCCTGCTCTGTCCTCCTGGAGCCCGTTCTCCGCTGTTCTCAGCTCCGCTTCTTCCTATCACCAGGATTAGAGTGGGATCCACACCCAGGACTTCTGGGTGTGACCTGGTGCGGAGGGCCCGGTGCGGGGTGTGAGGGAGCCACAGGTGCGTATGGAACCCAGCGCCCGAGGGGGTTCCCCTCGTAGGACAGAGCTCGGTGTTTTAGTGGAGGATCCCCAGTTACCACCACCATCACCATCACCACCGCCACCACCGCGTCCACTGGGCGGGACTGATTTACCCAGATGCCCACCATCTGACTTGGGTATTGGCCTGCTAGAGTCTCTGCCAGCAGCAGCCATGAGGCTCGGAGACCATGAGGCTCGTGGGCACCAGGTCATTCCCAGCAGGTGTCACTGTGATGCCTGCTGACCTGGCCTGGGACAGTCTGACGGCGGAGATGTGCTTCGGTCCCAGCCTGTGGGGCAGTGAGATCATCGCGTATGATGACATGATAACAGTGGATGCATCTCATTACAAGTTTGTTAAAACCACACAATGTCCAACACCAAGTGGCCCTAAGGTGAGTTACGGATTTGGGATGACATATCAATGTAGGTTTATCAACTGTGACAAATGTAGCACTGTGGGGGGAGATGTTGATAATGTGTGAGGGGTGAGGGTATATGGGACATGTCTGCACCTTCTCCATTTTTCTGTGAGCCTAAAATTGCTTTAAAAGTAAGTCTCCTGGCCAGTGTGGCTCAGTTGGTAGAGCATTGTCCCATGCACCAGGTCGTCACCGTTCCACTCCCAGTCAGGGCACAGGCCCAGGTTGCCGGCTCCATCCCCAGTAGGAGGCGTGCAGGAGGCAGCTGATGGATATTCTCTCCCCCACGTCCCTTTCTCTCTAAAATAAAATTTAAAAAACATTTTAAAAAATAATAGTCTTTTTTAAAAACCCGAAGAAAAACCACTTTAGGTTTCAGAATTTGACCAACTCCCGTAAGTTTTAATATGGCCTTTTCATTAATTTCACTTCCTCAGCAAACTATGATTGTCCCTTAATTTCCTCTCGGTCCAAGAGCTTGGGAATTTTTTGTTTCTTTTGCATCAGAAATAAGAACCTGTGAATAAGCCACCTCTTCTTCTAACTTAAACCCCCTTCCAGCTGTTCTTTCCCACAGGAACCATAAAAGAAGAGCCATTTACCCCTCCACAGAAGCAGGAAACACCCCCCTTAGGGAGAGTCACCTCCTGTCTTTCAAACTCGGGGCGCACAGTAGGACCGGTGCAATGGCAGGAGGTATTTTATAACCCGCCCCCTCTGCCATGGCAGCTTCATGCTGCTCTGTCTGCTTCACACTCCGACAAGTGACATCGCGAAGGGAATGGCACTTCAGGACATTCACACCCAGTTTATTAGATCCGAACCCAGTCCCCCAGGCATCAGGAGTGGGCCTGAGCCGGGAGCTGCCTTCCCATCTCTCGTGTCCCACTTTACTTTGTTGAATTCAGCAAAAATGTGTTGAGGAAACTGAAACAGTGAATGCATTTTAATGCGTTTCAGCCGTGGCCTGATCTGATAAACGTGCACCCTCCTCAGAGAGTGAGCTGCAAGTTCAAGTTTGAGTGGGCTCTGGGATTAGTGCGGTTCCAAAGCGCTTCTAGAAACTTGCATAACTTCATTATTTACAGGGCGTGGGCCCAGAGTAATTGCAGGCTCACATCGTGTGAAGTTGTGTGCCGCCGGGTCTCTGCAATACCGCCACTCAGACCAAGGGAAGGTCGTGTTCAGCGTTTACTAGATGCTTATGGGGGTGCAGTGGGAGGACTTGGGGACACCTGGCGTGGCGATGCACACAGAACTCCAGGACAAACTCTGGAGCAGCTGAATGGATGGACGTGCTGGAGGAATCCCAACTCCCAGAACCAGCGGGAACACAAGCCATAGAAAACAGAGAAGCTGGTTTGTACGGAAACTATTTTAATTTAGAAACAGAAAACATCCTGGAAAAAAAGAAAGACACAAAACATGCAGGCAACGTCTTTACTCCATGAGCGTCTCAAATCCGCACCGTCCACCGATCCCCACGATGGACCTCGTCCGTAGGCCGTCAGCCTCCGCTGCGAGAGAGAGAAAGGTCAGCTCTGCGTGCATGCCGGCTTTTACCAATGACCCGAGAGCAGTGCGCTGCGCTGTGCTGGAGCCAAACCGGTTCACTAGAACCACACCCCTACATGGCCCGAGACAGCACAAACGAGAAGAAACTGAACTGTAAAGTCTTTGGCTGAAAACATCCTTGGAGATAAGTGGCTGCCAGGATCCTCACTTGGGACATGTCTTTCTGAACAAGACAAAACCATAACCACCTATTGGTGGTGGCGGAGAAGTGTCCAGTTTGGGAGATTGATCGCTAGCGGAAATAAAGAGCTCACACCAGCAACGGTTCTCACCGCGGCAGCCTCCCAGGCAGCCACATCCTGGCTCGCTCATCTGGAAACAAAGTCCCTCACACCAGCAGGTGCTTCATAAACACCAGCAGACCCCGCAGGGTTCCAAAGTCAAAGACCTGTCTGCGCATTATTGAAATAGCTGTCAACTCCAATGGTTCCAGTTCTCATTCTATTCTAGATATTGCCTATTTCAGAAAGGTTACTTACACAATGATGTTATTAATAGGGATGTGGATCAACTTCACAAAGAAGCCAATGAAGCCCATTATAGCGAATCCTATTGCTGTGGCCATGGCAATCTTCTGGAATTCTGGATTAAAAACACAAAATTCATCATTTTCACAGTACACTGCAAGTATAGGGGGGAAAACTAGCAGTAACATAAACTTACTGGTGAACATTTCTCCTGATAATAAATACATAATTTTAAAGAAAAGGAAGTATGACACTTTATTAATAGTAAATAAACTGACAGGTTGAAAGAAAGAGAGAGGGGGGGGGGGGGGAGAAAGGTAGGGGGAGAGAGAGAAAGAGAGAGAGAGAAAAGAGAGAAAAGAGAGAAAAGAGAGGGAGGGAGGGAGGGAGGGAGGGAGGGAGGGAGGGAGGGAGGGAAGGAAGGAAGGAAGGAAGGAAGGAAGGAAGGAAGGAAGGAAGGAAGGAAGGAAGGAAGGAAGGAAGGAAGGAAATGCCACTAGTGAATCCATCAACGAGCAGTGAAATATTTTATCTTCTCAGCAAATGACCAGGATGCCAAAAAGAAATAAACTGTGGATAGGAGAAATACAGAGCATTTGTCTTTAAAAACTTCCACCACTGCTAAATATATATATATAAAAGGCTAATATGCGAAGTGTCCCCTTGAGAGTTAAACCAAGAAACTGGGAATTAGATCACTCACTATGACGTGTGCTGACCACCAGGAGGTGGTGTGTGGGACGAGGAAAGGAGGTGGGGAGGCAGGAAACCTGATGGGCCCTGATCGCTGGCCAAGCCTACGGACCCTGCCCATGCATGAATTTCATGCACTGGACCTCTAGATTATAAAAGCACAGAACATGATTTTTCATAAAAAATAGGCCCGCTGGATTTGATATTATGAAGAAGCCAAACACAAGGCTTGAAAATCAGATAGGCTTGAGCACAATTTTCTGCAAAGGTTTCAGACTCAGGTAGTTGCCATCGGGGAAGCTGTCCAGATGTGGTTAGTCCTCTTGTTAATTCTTCTTTTCCTTTTCCATAACACTTTCGACAGCAGTAATTAGGAACTGTAACTGCATTTATTTGCTTAGGACTACCTTCCCTGAAAAAGTCTAAGCTCTATAAGAGCAAGGACTATTCTCTATTATATATTGTTGTATAGTTTACTATATATATAACATAATGTATTAAATTCTCTATTGTAATCCCAGCTCCTAGCCCAGGCAGCAGTCAAGAAATGAATAAAAACAGACAAAGTCTGAGGCATCTTTTAACACATGAACCATCTATTGTAGTTTACCTATATATATAAAAGCCTAGTGACCAGCTTCCCCGGTGGTCAGTGCGCTCCCACAGCTGGAGCGCCACTCGGCCAGAAGCCGGGCTCATGGCTGGCGCGCACAGCGGCGGTGCAGGAGCCTCTCCCGCCTCCATGGCAGTGCTAAGGCGTGTGGAGCCAAGCAGTAGGAGTGAGCAGATGGGCAGTTGGGAACTAGGGGTCGGATTGTGAGAGGGATGTCTGACTGCCGGGATCGGGCCTAAACCGGCAGTTGGACATCCCCTGAGGGGTCCTGGATTACAAGAGGGCGCAGGCCAGGCTGAGGGACGACCCCATCGCATGCAGGAATTTCACGCACTGGGCCTCAAGGGATAAATAAGAAATTAACTTCCGAGGTTGGCACTCTGTCGTTGATTCCTGTTAGGGTTCTGTTTGGGGAGGGAAAGGACTCCTCAAAGACTGCAGCGTGAAAATATGGAAGATACTAAAAACTCTGACGCCATTAAATATGACTAACACAAACATAACATGAAAATAAGGCTCTAATAAGTACCCTTTCACCATTCGAAAATACACACAACAGAAGCATGTATAAAGTGTACAAAATATAGGAAGTGACAGTGTTAAAAAAAAAACAAAGCAAAATAAGTAAAAATGTGGCTTAAGAGAGAGTAACTGCATGGCTACTGAAGAGGACAACAGTCACAAGGAGAGGCTCGGAAAATGCGGGCGTGGACCGTTGCCTCTTGCTTGCTAGCCTTACCTTTCCGGTCGGGTTTGGTGCATCTCTTGACCAGCCGGATGGAATCCTTCACAAACTGCCGACTGGGCTCAACAAACTGCATGACCTGGTCCATGGTGCTTGGACAAACAGGAGAGACAGTCAAGGTCATGTCCTGCAGCCAGGACTGTTCTACCACCGTGTGCAGGAGACCGGCCGGAGATGCCGGCCTGCCGTAGCCAATCCCCCACAAAATAAACAAGAGGAAAGAGAAGGAGACTCCGAGCCTAAACTGACGCTATTTTTGTAAATTCCAGCCAAGCATCAGGGCAATGGCAACCGCTTTGCGGGTGATTATCCATCACAGACAAAAGACACGCAGGGCGGCGCCATCGCATCCCATCCTCAGCACTAGCACTCCACAGGCCTCCGCTGTGCCTACTAAGGAGCCAACAGAAACCTTCTACATTTTATTTTAAACCCCCCGAGCCTGTGTCTCCCCCAGTAAATGCCAGCGACGGTGCTGCAAGAGCCAGAGCCGAGGCAAACGTGGATTGCGAGGTGACTGCTCCAAGCCGTGGCCACCCAGCACGTCTAGGAAATCACACGCCTGATGGCAGAGACCTAGCAAACGCCCGGAACAAGGACGACTGAGGCTATGGGCCAGCCCTGAGGTCTGGACACGGCTCTGGGGACTCGGGGCGAGTTTCTCACAGGGGTTCCGCGCCGTCTGACCTCAGCTTGGCCAGCCGGAGGCCAGCCAGTGCCCCGCCCGTCACCGTCCCCTCCAGCTCGGGGGAGGGCCGGACACACACACCCAGGCCCCGGTGAGAGGCAGGCGGGACCGCAGGCTCCGAACGTGGGGGATGCTCTGGGCCGAGGATGGAGGGTCCCTCCAGAAACATACCGGCGCTGGGCTTCTCGGTGTCTCCCTCCGGTCCCAAACCCTGGGGCTTACACTTCCCAGCTCCGCCCTGCGAGTGAAGGACCCTTTCCCGGGGGGGGGGGGGGCGGGGTGGGAGCGGGTGGGGGGGGGCTGCAGGAGCCTCTGTGACCTGTTCATTAGATTGACCACCTCTCCCCCCACCCCTACCCCCGCCCCACGTCACAGGCGCCTGGGCCGCCGGAATACGGCTCTCCCGAGGCACTCACATCCCAGAGGGCTCCATCCGGGGGACTCCCATCCGGGGACACACCTCCGAGGGGACACACATCCCAGAGGACACACCTCCGAGGGGACTCACATCCGGGGGGACTCACATCCCAGAGGACACACCTCCGAGAGGAAACACCTCTGAGGGGACACACCTCCCAGAGGGGACTCACATCCGAGGGGGACACACCTCCGAGGGGACACACATCCGGGGGGGACACAGATCCAGGGAACTCACATCCGAGGGGTCAGGGACACACGCCCAAAGGGACTCACACCCCCAAAGCCCCCACCGTCCCCCACCCCCGGAGGCCCGGCGGCAGCACCACCCGCCCACCGGAGGCACAGACGCCCCGAAGCCGGACACAGGGCTCACACGCAGGCCCGAGGCCGCCGGTTCAGGCCCGAAGAGCCGCGGCCCGGGAGCCCTCGCCCTCGCCCTCGGGAACCGCGTCTCCGCCTCCACCCGCGTGGCGGCCCCGGGCCTCCCCCGCCCCGGCCGCCCCGGGCAGAGGTCCCCGCCCGGACGGCGCCTCACCTGCCGCCGCCGCTCCGCCTCGCCGCCTGGGACACGTCGCACTGAGCTGAGCTTCTGCAGCCAGCCGGAACCGGAAACCGGGCCGCTGGCCTCCGGCCCGCCCACCTCGGCGCTCATTGGTCCTTTGCGCGTAGACGTCACTGCGCAGGCGCCGCTGACGTGCGCCGCGGCCCCGCTTCCGGTGAGAGGACCGCCCAGGGGCTGGACTTCCTGTGGGGCTGGGCACTCAGCTGCTGCGAGTTTGGAGGCGGCTGCCGTTCTGCCCCGCCCGCCCCGGTGCCCCGCCAGCTCCGGGCGCCCCACGAGACCCAGGTACCCCGCCAACCCTGGTACCCACGAGCCCCCGGTGCCCCCCACGAGCCCCCGGTGCCCCCCCACGAGCCCCCGGTGCCCCCCCCACGAGCCCCCGCTGCCCCCCCACGAGCCCCCGCTGCCCCCCCACGAGCCCCCGGTGCCCCCCCCACGAGCCCCCGGTGCCCCCCCACGAGCCCCCGGTGCCCCCCCACGAAACACCCGGTGCCCTCCCCCACGAGCCCCGTTGCCCCCCCACGATCCCCCGCTGCCCCCCCACGAGCCCCTGCCCCCCACGAGCACCCGTGCCCCCCCCACGAGCCCCCGGTGCCCCCCCACGAGCACCCGCTGCCCCCCCACGAGCCCCCGGTGCCCCCCCACGAAGCCCCCCGCTGCCCTCCCCCACGAGCCCCGTCTGCCCCCCCCACGATACCCCCGCTTCCCCCCACGAGCCCCCGGTGCCCCCACCCACGAAGCCCCCGGGCCCCCCCCACGACCCCCGGCCCCCCTGCCCCCCACGAACCCCCGCTGCCCCCCCACGAGCCCCCGGTGTCTACCACGAGCCCCCGCTGCCCCCCCAACGAGCCCCCGATTGCCCACCCCACGAGCCCCGATGCCCCCCCACGAGCCCCCGCTGCCCCCCACGAGCCCCCGATGCCCCCCACGAGCCCCCGCTGCCCCCCCAGGAGCCCCGGTGCCCGCTGGGCCGGTGCCCCGCCAGCTGGGCCCCCGCGGCGCCGGCCGGGCCGCACCTGCGGGTGTGGGGACTGCCTCCTCGGGCGCCGGTGACGGTGTGGGGCCGCCTGATTGGAGACCGCCTCCCGCCCGCCAGCCGGGCTTCCTCCGGGCCGGCGGCGGGGACGTCGCGGGGCGCCCCTGCAGCCTCAGGCTGGCTGGGGCGTGGCTGTCCTCGCTTTGCTGAGAGCATTCGAACCGCAGCGTTTGGCCGCTGGCGGGCGGGCGGCCTCTCGCCCGGGCAGGGCCCCCGCAGCTCTGCGGTCCGGGGCGCCGCGCCCGCGGGACGGCCAGTGAGCCGTGACTGTAACCGCGCGGGGCTGCGGCTGTGACAGTAAAAAAGGGGAGCGGGGGAGGACAGTGGGAGAAAGACAGGACTCCCCTGGGTGCTGGCGACAGGCCTGAGGAAATGATGCCGCCGGATTCAAATTATCCAAACATCCAGGCCGACTCAGAATTTAAAAGTGGCTCTTAAGACTTACAAAAGGGTGTAGCAGGGTTATTTGTTATCGCAAAAAAAAAAAAAAAAAAAAAACAGTGCCTCAGGGGTCCATCAACAGAAAATGGATAAACGGACAAAAAGGCTTATTTCTACAGTGAAATAGTACACAATTGAGAAAAAATTACAGGCAATATTGATGAATATCTAAAACATGGTAAGTGAAATAAGGTACTGTAAGACATATATTCTTTTTAAGAAAGTTTCAATTTTATTGTTTTGATTAGACAGTAAAATCAGTGCCCTGCTGGGGTGAAACAGTTAACACACTTCCTTCTCTTCCTCCCCCCCCCCATTTGTTAGTGTTTTAGGCTGATTCCTAAATAAGAGATGGCTCTTTTTCTGGCTTCATTAAGTATGACTTCATTAAGATTAAAAAAAAACTTCTCTCCAAAGACATTATTACAAGGGAAAAAAAAAGTCAGAGACGGGGGGAAAAAAATAATTGTAAAACATGTATCTGATGAAGGACTTCTATCCAAAATATGCAAAGAACTTAAAACTCATTAAAAAATAGGCAGAGTCCCAAAAATGCCTCACCAGATGGCAAATAAGCAAATGGAAAGGTGCTCAGTACCACCTGCCACCAGGGAGCTGCAAAGTAAGACAGTGAGATGCCTCGCTCACCCATCAGTGGCTAACCTCACGCTGCCACTCCCAGTGCTGAGGGATGGAGCACAGGGACTCTGATTTCAGACGCTGCGGCCACCGGGAAGACAGCGGGCAGGTTCTGACACAGCTGAACATCTCACTCCGCCGTCCGGCAGTCACGCTCCTTGGTATGTACCCCAGCGAGTTGGAACACGTCCGCACAAACCTGCACACAGACTTTGGAGGAGACCTAGTCCGGACGCGGAGGCAGCAAAGGTGTCCATGGTTTTCATCAGAAGAATCTGAGAAAGACACAAGATGGCGAAATAACTCTTAAGAAAGCACATGTATGTGAGACACACCTCCCTCCCTCCCTCCCTCTCTCTCTCTCTCTCTCTCTCTCTCTCTCTCTCTCTCTCTCTCTCTCTCTCTCTCTCTCTCTCTCTCTCACAGACACACTCATCCCAGGTTCACCTGATAGTCCTTCAGCCTTTCAAAACAATGTATTGTTCTCACTACCTTTTTGTTGTTGTTTTCTATTGTTGTTAATAAAAGTCAAAACGGTAAGTTTGCAGTCAGTGGGTGTTTTGTTACTAGGAAGACTCAGAATTACTGCAATTAGTTACCCATTGAGCTGTCTGGAAACCTTGGTTCCATGAGAGTACTTTGATTTGTAGTTCAAGCGTTCGGCCAGCAGAGGGCAGTGCAGGAGCACGCGTGGTCACAGGCTGTGCTGGGAAATGCTGGAAGGGCTGGTGGCCGTCTGGGAGCTGCAGTGGGTGTATAACCAAGCAGCTCTTCTACAGAAGGAGGCTGTCACCTGGTGGTTAGCACCAAGAAGCCCCCGTCCCACCCAAAGCAAAAAGAAAGGAATGTGCTTCTAGAAAAAACGATTCAAAATGTCTTGTTTAAAGCAGGATTCCTCAGTAAGGAAGGAGTTCCCATCCACAAACTCCCGCTGCGTGTAGACCCGCCACCGTGGAGACGGGAGGAGAGAGGCAGGGTTCTGCAGGGGCCGGGCAGGAAGGAGAGGCGCCTGTGAGCGGCCAGCTCTGTGACTTGTACCCTGGGACGGTCCCAGCAGGTGCCGGGTGGACCCAGGAGCCTAGGCCCAGGCCTGGTTTTCTGGCCAAAAGATCAACTCACGTTCATCTTTCACTTGATCTCCTCGTAGCTTCGTGTTGCAGCTGCAGTAAACCCGGCCCTGACCTGCCCCCGGCTTGCTGCTCCTTCGTGGTGTCCAGGAGCCTCCTCTCGCTGTGTCCTGCTTCCCGTCCGTCCACAGACACTGCAGACCCAGCCCGCCGTCCAGGCCGCTGCCCTCGCTGCTCTCTACGCCTCCATGTTCCTCCTCCGCTGGGCTGCCTGCTTTCTCCTCCCTCCCTGCGTGGAGTCTGTCACTCCCCTCCCGACGCCCCCCTGCTGTCTTCACCAGAGGGGCCCCTCAGTCCCCTCCGTCCCACTGCACCGGCTGTGTCCTTCCCAAACGCTGTCCCAGATGGGGTTATTTGTGGCAGCGGGAGTCACTGCAGAGGGGAAAGCGGTTTAACGGGGAGAAGCAGTTAGAACCAGCAGAGCACGCAGTGTGCCTTATACGTGTGACTTGTTGGGGCTCAGGCTGGATGGGTGGTCCACATGTCCATGGCGAAGGCACCAATAAGAAAGGACAGTCCCCGGATGCTGTATGTTCATGGTGTGGATGCTGTATATTGGGGGGTGGAGCAGGGTCAGGGGCAGCTGTGAGGCAGCGGTGCCCTGGCTGGGGGTGGGCTTGTGGGGAGGATCTCTGGATCTCGGCCCTGGTAACTGGCCTGTCCCTCTGTTAGGCTAACCCAGATCTCCGCTAAGCTCCCACAGTCAGTTCGAGGCCATCCGCTTTCTCCCCACTAAAATGTGTCAGCACAGAGGCAGGGCTTTGTCTGTCCCGTCACCACTACAATCGCACGGTGCACAGGGCGGGTGATCAGATTCCTGAGGTGAATGAGAGGTAACAGCGTGAGTGGTGATGGCGTGAACAACTACCGAGAAGGACGGGCACTGGCAGGAGAGGCCACGTGTCCCTGAAATGCTGACGTGGGGTGGCCTGGCCTTCGGGGCGGACAGCGTCTGAGTTGGTTGTAGCGCAGACGCTGCAGGTGGCACCGTCCCTCGTGACCCCAGCCACAAGGGGCCTTCCGTGGCTTTTAAACCCACACCCGTGCTAACTGCCATTCATACACTCATTCATACATTCATTCATACATTCACGCAACCACCGCTGGCTGCGCTGCTCTTCAGTCAGCCGACCCCGAGTTCCCCGATCACTTTTGTAAGAGGAGCAGGTTGGGATCTGGGGGAGACGTGGTCCATGGGTCTCTCTTCCGTTCTGACTGCTCATCTCCATCCACATCACACTCCGCCAGAGTGGTTTGGCAGCGGGAGTGGTGATGAGGTCATGTCCACGATATTGAGGTCAGTGTTAGTAATGCTTACTGCATGCTCATCCGCTCTTGGAATGCTTCTAAACTAGCGACACAGGAAAAAAAAATTGTCAAATGAGAGGAAATTATGTGTCGAGCTGAGTCCTGAGGAGGTGACTAATAAGACAGCGCACAGTCCTCACCCAGCCCTGGGCCGGGTCGTGTCCTGAGGACTGCTCACTGTGACAGACCCCCCTAGTTCTGCTCGCCCCAAAGATGATTGCTGGGATACATCTCCAACGGGTAACACCAGCAGGATTTACACTCGGGATGTCGACAGGAACTATAAAGGAGGCAAAGCAAACCGTTGGCTGTCTCCACCATGGCCCATTTCCGGCACCCTTTCTCTCCACCGAAGTGATATCTGTTATTAAGGGCCCCCGGGGACCGAGAAGGACACGTAACGGAGAAAGCGCACGGATTAGTTCACTGTGTTTCCCCGGGTCTGAGTCACCCGCTGCAGTGATTTCGAAGCCATCTTCTACACCAGTGATAGCTTACGGCGCTCTTAAACATTAAAATGGTCTACCCTTGGCAGTTTTTTTTCCCTATGATTCTCTTCCACATCATCTTTTCACTCTGCTTCCTGTTTTTTTCCTGGGCTATAAAGTGACTGCTTCCTCTCATCACCTCCTCCCCATTCGTGAAACTGCAGTCGGTTTATCACTCCTCTCACATTGTACACATTGGTGGAACCTCACCTGAACACACAGCATCCGCTTGCCCTTAGCCATAGTTCTCAAGCCAAACGTTGAGTCACCTTTGTAGCCGCATGTCAAGCTGGGCATGTCTGTTCACTGTCCTACCAGCTCCTCACATCAGCCCCGTGTCTGCTGTTCATTCATCCTGTACCACAGTCAAGAAAACACCAAGCTGTATTTTCCTGATTGTGGTACAGGGCGCATGAACATCACCCGCTTTCTACCTGTCAGCAGAGGACTCCGCCCTCTCACTCACCGCCATTCTCCAGACCCAGTCGGCAAGCCTTCCAGTGTGTGTTTCCTTAAGATCCTTTCTTTCTACGCTTCCATGCTAACCACATAACTGTCACCTCAGGTCTGGTCTCTCTAAAGCCCAGGGGCCACTCCCTGGTTCCCATCACCTGGGAGCAGTGCTCCGGAATCACACGGCTCTTCAGCATTTACCTACGGCCACTCCAGTCCTTCAGTGTGACCTCTTCATCGTAAGGCTCTCAACTGATTACCCTGAGTCTATGGGGAGTGTGTTGGGATAGACTCAAATGTTTCTTTAATATTTGTATTGATTTCAGAAAGGAAGAGAGAGAAACATCAATGATGAGAGAATAATTGATCAGCTGACTTATACACTCCCCCCCTACTGGGGATGGAGCCTGCAACTTGGACATGTGCCCCAACCAGGAATCAAACCGTGACCTGCTTCCTAGGTCAACGTTCAACCGCTGAGCCATGCCGGCCGGGCTCAGATACTTCTTATCAAATATTTCTTAGCTATGAAAAATGCATAAAGAATTCTATATAATAAAAGGCTAATGTGCAAATCAGCCAAACAGTAGAATGACCAGTCTCTATGATTCATACTGACCACCAGGGGCAGACACTCAACACAGGAGCTTCCCCCTGGTGGACAGTGTGCTCTCCCCCAAGGGCTCCTGGGCTGAATTTCATGCACTGGGCCTTTAGGAATAAAGGCCCCATGCCTGAGAGAGATGAACTTGACCTCCAGAAGGAGCAGGAGTGTGTGGAAGACCAAGGTTAGTATTGCCTTTCAGCTGCCATTGGTGTGACCCTGCACAAGACACGTACACGACCTTAGCTTCAGTTTCCTGGGGTGAAGATAATGTCTCCCTCAGACGAGGCTTTTGACAGTGAAATGACATTGGACATAAAGCTTCTATCTGAGAAGCTCCATAACTGTTAGTTCTCAGCTTTGGACCTTTATACTAAAGAGTAAAATAGCAATAATGGCTTTAAGTAACAGGATAAGGAAGTAACCATAGAAATGTCACAAAGAGCTGCTCCCCTTTCCTTCCTCCTCCTCCTCTTCTCTTCCTCCTCCTCTTCCTCTTCCTCCTCCTCCTTTTCCTCCTCTTCCTCCTCCTCCTCCTCCTTTTCCTCCTCTTTCTCCTCCTCTCCCTCCTTCTCTTCCTCCTCCTCCTCCTCCTCCTTTTCCTCTTCCTCTTTCTCCTCCTCCTCTTCTTCTCCTCTTCCTCTCCCTCATCCTTCTTCTCCTCCTCCTTCTCTTCCTCCTCCTCCTCCTCCTCCTCCTCCTCCAGGAGTTCCTCCAGGGGGTTGATTCCTTGAGGAGCTGGTTGCTGTGAAGCAGTGCTGCAGCTGGGCTCGCTGTGGGGCGGTGTCTGCAGCTGTGAGATGGTGGGGAG